TATATATATATATACTTTAATTTTATGTATTATAATTTATCTCACGTAAAATCAGTCCATAACTTTTTGATAACTATACATAATTTACATAATTTTAATTTGAAAAACAATTTTTTGTTTTGTTTCAGACTTATCCAGACCTTCCGGACGATACAAACCTTCCAGGCGGGACTTTTTTCACGTGTGCCAGTGACGACACGATTAGAATTTGGAATCTGGACCACAAAATGTTCCAAAATAGTGCCTTAAAGCGAAATATCTATTGTTATGTAAGTATTCTTTAGGATCTTATTTGCATGAATAGACACGCTAACTTTTTAAACTTTCTGATTGGAGATAGATATCGCTATTGTTTTAACACGAAAGAATGTAAACTAGCCCTTGACCGATAGCGTGTGAATTAGTTACATTCAATTTATTTCTTCAAAACTCTCCCAGCCACAAACATAACATTATGAGACAATAAAAAATAAAGTTGTCAACTTATTATTCGCTTGTTCAATGCTGCCAGATTTTCAAAGTTTCGGAACTGTGGTAAATGTCTACTGAAGGAATATTTTTTCTAATACCTTTTTTTATATTTTTGATCAGTCGTTAAGCAAAATAAAAATATTTCTTGTATCAATGTAAATCGAATTTTGCAAATTATGACCTTAAGATGAAATACTAATATATCATCTACATATGTACTTTCACTGTTAGTGAATTCAGTGGCACCTGCGGAAAAATGTTACCAACAAAAGTTATGCTTTGATATCGGATTCCTTTTATTTAGTTTGCGTATTAGTCAACTTTCATTCTGAAATTTACCCATACAACATTGTGAGCTGACCAGGATCGGTCATATAATCTAGTACAGTGTTTCTGAAACTCTTTAGTGTAGGGACCATGCAGGGCAATACTTTCAATATCATTACTTGTAACGAAAATAAAATGTACGTACTTTTACTTGTGCTTCGTTACATTTTAAATTAAGTACTTTCTCCTGTTTTTTTCGTTAGTTTTTTCGGGCAAAAGTATTTGTAACGAGAATGTCAAAAAAAAAACTTTATTTTTTTCTGAATTTTTTTATTTATTTTTTCTAATAAATTAAATACATAATTTCTGAAAAAATTCTTTTCTTTTTTTCCCTTTTTCAAATTTTACAGTATAAAAAATTAGTTTATATGAAAAAATTTAGAAATAAAATTTTCGTGGTCAATCTTTTATTAGTAAAAAATTAACAACAAATTAAAAAAATCGTCATTATTTAAAATTCAAAAATAATTTTTTTAACTTTCATAAAAACGAAAAATAAGTTTTCATTTAATGAATTTCAAGGGGTTACCTATATATAAATAATTTTAAAAAAAATATGTTTTACCTGTTTCTTTAAACAAAAAAATGTAAATGCAATCGAATTTGTATAACAAATTGATTTATAATTGGAAATTCCGAAATTAAAGCAAAATTTCTAAAGATTTTAAATTTAACATAATTTAAAACTCCTTTTTCTATGCAAAAATTGAATTTTGATTTATTTTTTTGGTTTCTTCAACGTTCACTATTTCAACGAATTTTGTAACATTTTCCAGCATTTTAAATTTCATAAATTGAAAATAAAATTTATCGCATTTTAAATTAAGAAAAAGTAATTTTTTTCTTACATTTCTTAATGAAATTTGAGGTTAATTTGAATTTTCAATTTCTACGCAATGTACTTTTTAGCCAGATTTGAGAGTAAAGATACGTGAGGCGATTTTGCTCTAAAATTGTATGTCCAGATCTGGTTTGTTCGTAACATTGTTACAATTTTAAAAAAAAGAGTTTAATTAAATTTATATATAAAACTACCAGTTTTGTTCTGAAATTTAAATTTACTAGTTTTTTTTCCACAAGCTCTTAAGTATGTTTGTCAACAATACTTTTTGTTACGTTAAAAACATGTTGACTGAAGTCGGCATTGAAGTCTCTCAATATCATTGCAAGTCCGTTGTTTTTAATTTTTTTTTCTATTTTTAATTTTGGTCATTCTCATACTACGTTGCGTCTGTCGTTACTTTTTTGTTTTGTACTTGTATTTTTCACTGGATACTCTTCGAAATCAAAACATTTTTCTCATTACTTTTGTTTTAAGTACTTATACTTTTTCTCGTTACTTTATTAAATCAAAACTTTTTACTCGTTACATTTGCTTAAAGTACTTGTACTATTCACTCGTTGCTTTTTCAAATCAAACTTTTTACTCGTTACTTTTTTCTTAAACTAAGTGTACTTTTACTTGTTACTATTTAAAGGTAACGTTCCCATCTGTGGTAGATATCGCATAATATTTACGAATGTTTTGTGGGTCCCGATAAGCATCGAGAAAATCTTACACAGGCGTACTGTCAGGTTCTTCACCTTCTACTGTAATGTACTATAGCAGTTTAAGGACATTAATTTTAAATTTTGTGGCACAGAACAACGTGAAAATTTTAAATATACCCAACCTCTCGTCTTCTATTTATCGATTTAGAGGACCATATATTGGCGACTGGTCTTACGAGTTCTCACTCATACAAACATTAACACCGATGACTAATGAGTACAAATTTTAATATCACGAAGCATCGTCAAAAATGTATCGCTATATTTTCGGAAGTAATCCAATTTCTAATTGATGTCAATATTTTTGTTACCCAAATAAAATATAGCAACCTTCACTATGAAATCATATTCAATAATTATCGCTTTGTATAATATTCACCATATTGTCATTTTCGGTGTAAAGTGTGCCAAAAAAGAAAGAAAAAAAACAAACAGACTACCACTCTGTACACTACTCCAGTTCAAGTTCAAGTTATTTTTGAAAAAGAATTTGGGTTTATAGGCACAACTGGAGATGTTGACGTTCCTGTAATTTTTGTTGTCTGAATTGTTATTGAAAATAAATCCTGACTGATTGTCATATCTTTATTGTAGGAATTGTTGAAAATTTTGTACACCGATCCTAACTATGTGTTCTTATGTGATATTGATCTCCTTCCAGGTGAGTACTATACACATCGCAAACTTTCTAAATTTATTCAATCTATTTTATTTCTATTCTTGCCATCAATCTACGCAAAAAATTATATGATTATATTTCAGCTAACGCCAATGAAAAACTCGCCAATTCTTACGACGGTAAAAATGGAGTTAGATGTTTAAAAATTCGACCTGATGGCCAACACTTAGCTTCAGGTGATAGATCTGGTAACATACGGTAAGTGAAAGAAAACACTTATACACGAAAATAATATGATTTTTCATTGAGGTTATTGCCTAATAATTTTAACACGTTCACGCCGGGAAAAGTGAAAATACTGGTAGAAGAACTATTTCTATATTAGATAATATTAGGGAGGAGTTAATCTATTCTCAACAATTACAACTCACTGCAAGGAAATTTATCACGGCGAAGAAGCAATTCAATATAAGAATTGCATCCGTTAAAAACAATTGGTAGTTACGGACTTTTATTATTCCTGGAAAAAAACTAAAAAATGAAATTTATTGCTACCAGTTTTTACTCTGGTGCGCTGCCAAGATGAGAAAATCTAGCGGGGCCCACCGGTGGGTCAACCCGGCGTGAACGTGTTAAACAACAGAAATATTTGTCATTCATATTTTCTATAAGAATCCATTTCCCATATATTATTTTATCTTGCAACAGAAAGTTATAATTCGAAACAATTCCTGAATGGAATTATTCATTTAAACTGATTTCTCAAAATGTTATTTATTTTGCGTGGAGAATTTTCCGAAAATAAGGGGTGCTTAGAAATTTTGCTGATTGTGATCTTTGCTGCGTTTTTTTTCTCTCCAGAATTTATTAAGAATAACATAACTGCTTCGGGCCATGTTGTTAAATCTATTTAGTAGACCTTCATTAATTCCTTCTTTGTTGTTAATTATACTTCCAAGATACGTAAAAATTACTTACTTCCACTAATTCTTTTACTTTCTAAGAATATGTCATTTAATTGCTTAGGATTAATTTTCGAAATTTTAGTTCTATTTTGGTTGATAATAAGTCCCCTTTTCTCTGCCTCTGCGAATGAATTGTGCGTGTTTGTTTGCATGCCCTGAAGAGTTGAAAAAATGGTTATGATTAAAGAAATGAAAATGATTATCATCAAAAATGATATGGGAACAGCGATGGCTCAGGGGATAGAGCGTTCGCCTTCCAATGAGGAGAACCGGGTTCAAATCCCAGTCGATACGAATTCCGCATTCAGCTTGCACTGACCACAATGCTTTCGTGAAAGATCCTCAGTGGTAGACGGATTATGGGTTAGAGTCCCCTTGCTCTCAGACTAACCGTGGGAGGTTCTCGTGATCTTCCTCTCTATGTAACGCAAATGCGGGTTAGTTCCATCAAAAAAGTCCTCCACGAAGGCAAATTTCTCCCAATACTCGATTCAGGAGTTCTCTTGTCTTCCGGATTGGGTTCACAATTACAAGGTCAGAGATGCCAACTTGCTCCGGACAGCAAATATATATTTTAAAGTGGTAGTTTATCAATGTATTATTTTATCTTTATCGCCANGCGGGTTAGTTCCATCAAAAAAGTCCTCCACGAAGGCAAATTTCTCCCAATACTCGATTCAGGAGTTCTCTTGTCTTCCGGATTGGGTTCACAATTACAAGGTCAGAGATGCCAACTTGCTCCGGACAGCAAATATATATTTTAAAGTGGTAGTTTATCAATTGTATTTCTTGGTTTAATTAATTCAATTTAGAAGATTTTTATCCACCACTATTTCTAAATAATTCGTAGGCTTATATAATTCACCACATTAAGGTCCGTGTGTCATGCAATACCGTTTTAAAAGCAAGCTGGATTAGTCAAATATTTGCAAAATTTACTTTGTATTTATTTACCGTTTTTTTTAATTATTTTGTCGTGTCCGGAGCAATTGGCATCTCTGCAAGGCTACGGAGTTGAACATTAATAGTCGTAAACCCATAAAATTGAGTCGGCTGTTCAACGACGGTTATAAAAAAAATGATATAAAGAAAATGATATATAATTTATAACGTAGAAGAGTGTGAATATTACATAGACTTTCTAAACTGCATAGCAAACAGCTGAGGAAATTTAGCGATCACCCAATATTACACGGTCTGTTGTTCAAGAGTTCTTGATATTCGTTCCTACTTATGCTAATTATCTACTTAATTGATAAAACTATAACCAGAATAATAAAATTAAAGCCAGTGAAGATATGTAGAACGGTGAATTCTATGTTTTCTCTCATAGGAAAAACAAATGGATTAAAGTAGAACAAGCTATTTGCATTATTGTTTAATTCATTTCTATTGCTTAATTTCTCACATAAATACTGTAGTCAACGAATTGAATCCGCTTTTTAAGAATTTCTATGCAAATAATTACCCATTTTTATCTACATTTAGTTTTTAATCCAGCAAAACATTTCCATATTGAAAAGAATTTAAAAATTTAAATATTTTGAATATTTTTATGAATACTTCGTACAGAATATCAGTAAATGGAAATTTTCTTGATGAACTTTTCCTATAGTGCAGAAATATTACTACTCAATAAACTTAAACAAATGTTTTAAAAAACAGAAGGTGTTATGATTATTATTAGGCTGATCACAAGGCATTTGTTTTTTATTGTTACTTACTTATTTTGTTTTAAGCAGTTATAGTTGCACAGCCGACCCAATTTTTTGGTTTACGACTACTACTTATGTTCAACGCCGTAGCCTTGTAATTTTGAACCTAATCCAGAAGACAAGGGAACTCCTGGATCAAGTATTTTATTTTATAACCGTCATTGAACAGCCGATCCAATTTTATAGGTTTACGACTACTAATGTTCAACTCGATAGCCTTGTAATTTTGAACCCAATCCAGAAGACAAGGGAACTCCTGGATCGAGTATTGGGAGAAATTTGCCATCGTGGAGGACTTTTTGATGGAACTAACCCGCATTTGCGTTACATGGAGAGGAAGACCACGAGAATCTCCCACGGTTAGCCTGACGGCAAGGGGACTTTAACTCATGATCCGTCTACCACTGAGGATATTTCACGTCGGCACTGTGGTTGGTTCAAACCGGATGCGGAATTCGTTTCGACCGGGATTTGAACTCAGTTCGCCTCATTGGAAGGCGAAAGCTCTATTCCCTGAGCCACCGCGGCTCTTTATTATTACTTAAGTATTATTATAACGGAAATGTTTTTGACAAAAAGTTCTTTCACAATACGATGCCAAAAATTATTTATTGTTATTCTCCATTTATTTCATTATAAAAGAACTGAAAAATTAAGGGAATTCTAATCATACATTTATTTATATATTTTTCATTATAGGGTATACGACTTAAAGTATTTAGAGCTTCTTTGTAAAATAGAAGCCCATGATGCTGAAGTCCTTTGCTTGGAATACTCAAATTCGAAAACAGGTAAAAAAAATTATTTAAAATTTGAAAAATAAAATATGTTTGAATGGGCCAGAAAAAAAGTTTTAATAACATAAATTTGAAACATAATTAATCATAATGTTGGGAAATAAAGGGAAAAGAGAAGATAAAAGTAAAATAAAGTTTAATAATTAGTGCAACAACTAAATATTAAAGTTTAGTTAAAACAATTGAAGTAGTTAAAGCCTTTAAAATTATGGAATAACTGTTGAACTTTAAAATTTATAAAGTAATTTTACAGCATTTGAATCAATCGAACTTTGTTCACAATTAAAATAGTTATATCTTTTAAAATTATTAAAATCGTTTAAATACATTAAAAAATTGCAATTTTAAAAATACTAAAATATGTGAAATTTTTAATATATTGGATAATTAAAAAAATAGATTTAAAATTATTGAAATAGAGGTAATTTTTAAATTTATTATATACCTAAATTTCACAACCATTGAGTTATTGAAATATTTAAATTCAATACATACCTACATATATGGCAGCCTTATTGTAAGTAATTTTAAATAAAGTTAGAGTTTTGTTCTAATTTTTAAAAAAAATTTAAACTGTATGTTTTTTCGCGCATTTAAATTATTATTAATTGATTTTCCGCCTTACAAAAAAATTTAAAGGCAATAACAATTATAGTAACCTTTTATAAAATTTATTAGGGAATCCATATTGTTTCTTATTTACCTTTGAAGGGCATATTGGGTAACTCTGAAGAGCATATTAGCCGCACTTTTTTAAAAGCTACTTTTTCACGTCAAATTGTTCCTCAAAATTATTTCCAGGTAGATACTTTAGTTTCCGGAGTTTCAACTACATAACAGCACAATATAGTGGAATATTTTAGGGTTTGCAAAGGAATTACGGTCATTATTCACAAAAAAAAAAAACGATCTCCTGCACAATTTAAAAGTGTGGCTTTCATCATTGTGCCTCAAGCCTTTCAATTAAAAAATGAAGGATAAGAAAAAAAGTTGTTATTTATGTAACGAAATTGAAAAATAACTTCGATTGCAAATTTTTATAATGAATCGAATTAAATTGAATAAATGATTTAATTTTTTGAGGATACCGCATTTCACGTAAATTAATGATTTTTGAAGACTTTTTATTTTTATGTTTGCTTTTTTATGTTAAAATTATAACAATTATAAAACAGTTTATGTTTTATAATATGTTAAAAATAATTTAAATATACATCAGTATTAAATATAAATTAGTAATTTGAATTCATAAAAAAAATTTATAGTGGTGATACTTATTTTTTAAACGTTTTGAGAGAATCTTAAATTGATAACGAAGTTGGTAGTTTAACTTTTTTTAAAAACTAAATTGTAGGATAGTTAACATTAAAGATAAAGGTTTAGTGGATAAAGCGTATAGCGAATAAAGTGTAGGATAGTTATTTTTTCACATCATTACAAAAATGCATCAGCAATCATGAGGAAAATATATTGTTCAATTTACACTATCAAGCTTGCCTACGAAAAGTGTAGGATAGTTAACGCTAAAGATAAGGTGTAGTGGATAAAGTGTAAAATGAATAAAATGTTGAATAGTTATTTTTTTACATTATTGCAAAATTATGTCTACGCTGCAGCAAGACTGAGGAAAATACATTATTCAACTTCATCCCTGCGTACGTAAAATGTAGGATAAATAACACTAAAGATAAAGTGTAGTGAATGAAGTGTAAAATGAAAAAAAAATGTTGGATAGTTATTTTTTCTCATAACTGCAAAAATATGTCTATGCATCAGCAAGAATGAGGAAAATACATTATTCAACTTATACGATCATATTTTCTTTTATTTAATTTTTCATTATTGCTATTATCATTTATATTTCATAGTTATTATCATTTTATTTTTCATCATAGACCCAGGACAACTCTTGTCTTCCGCAAGTCGTGATAGGTTAGTTCACATCTTTGATGCCCAAAAAAATTATTCTTTTGCACAAACATTGGATGACCACACATCATCAGTGACAGCTGCCAAATTCGTCCGCTGCGGCAAGGAACTATTTTTTGTCTCTTGCGGAGCTGATAAATCAGTGATTATTCGGAAAATGTTATGGGTAAGATTGCCTTAACACATTTTATGATAAAATATTAAAGTTTTTGTTTTAATTTAATTTTTGAAACACTCTATAGTGTTCTGTGAAACCCTAGGGTTCCACGAAAGAATCAAAATGGTTCCTAGAGTAAGGACTTTTTTAAACATTGTTTTTAAAATATTTATTTGTTTCTAATTATATTTAGATCTAATCAATAATCCATGATTTAATTAATATTTCGGTTGCTTTCTCAAAACTATTTAAAGTGAAATGCCAATTAAAAAATGACAATGATTTTTTAAAAAAAAAATACATACATAAAACTTCTAATTACAATGCATTGAAAAAGTTTGGAAGCGGATAAGCATTTATAAAAAATTACATTGGAGTTTCGCATCGCGTTTTTCGAATCAGAATAAGATTACTAAATTCACTAATAAAGAAGTAGGTTTTCAAAAAAAAANAAAAAAAAAAAAAAAAAAAAAAAAAACTTTTTTATTGTTTAGTAGTTTGAAAACACAAGGAAAACCATTTATTTTCAAAATTAAGCACTTTTATTAGTTGAAACATTCATAATTTTCTTTATGTGTTTAATGTACATAGTTGGTGTTCTACCGAAAGAAGTTTTGTTTTATTTTATAACCGTCGTTGAACAGTCGACCCAATTTTATGGGTTTACAACTACTAATGTTTAACTCCGTAGTCTCGTAATTTTGAACCCAATCCAGAAGACAAGGGAACTTCTGGATCAAGTATTGGGAGAAATTTGCCTTCGTTAAGGACTTTTTGATGGAACTAACCCGTATTTG